TTTCCCTGAAAAGTTGCCACTGGAATCGTTTTCACTATGCTAGTTTTGTATTGTTTGATTATAAGGACTGACCGTCCATTTTCCTCTCTTTTGTTATAATCTTGTAGTACTGCTATAAGACGTATGTCTTCTGCAATAAAGAAATTGAAAATTGAATTGATTATAGATATTTCTTTATAATTCTAAATTAGTTTTAATTAAAAAAAACAAACAAACAGAACTTTTAATTGACCTGATGACTACAGTGTACAAGTAATTAATTTCTAATCAAATTTTGAAAAGTTATTCAAAGTATCAAAATTAATGCGTGGAAAAAAATCAAAGAATAAAATGTAATTAAGATAATAAGTATATACTGATTATACTAGAGTATACCGTGGTTACCCAAAGAATTTAGAAGCATTTTTTAACGTCAAAGCTGTAATTAAGGGGATTTTCTTTGATGATAATAATAATACATGTACTTATTATTTGAATGATTTTAATACTTATATAAAAGTATATGCTTCTCTTACTTTTCATCTGTATATTTTTGATAAGAAACTCACTTAAAATTTTCATTTGTTACAGAAGTGCTTGGATATGGTTCGTCCAATTTTATCGGAGAGAGAAAATGAACACATGTTTAAATAGGTTCTGTTGAATTGATATGCTTTTAATGATATGGTTATAAAATTGTATTTGTAATTTTATATTTTAAGAGTTTTTATTACTTTTGTGTTTAGCCAGAACACATACAAATGCCTGGTCATCAAAAATATCAATAAACCATATTTTCTAGCACACCTTTTGTTCATCTTTGAAATATAAGCCGTGAGAAATTTTGTTCAGAGAGTTATTGCGGATAAGTGTTAGAAGTGTGTCATTAAGAGCTTATTATCGGTATTGATCTTGATCAGTCCAGTAAGTGTTTTATCGTGCGTTATTCATTTGAATTTAAAACTGGACGGGCCTCTCAGTGATATTGCAAACAAAACCTTTAATGGAATCTTAAGTATTTCTAAAGTACCGACCGTTTTCTCATCTTCTTGGTTCTATTTTTAAAGGACAATCATATAGAAAACGAGGAAAGTTAAAATAATGTCTGTATGTCCTTTATGATAAAACAATCGTAATATAGGAGTAGGTCACGAACCATGACCTACTGAGTGCGAAAAATTAGCCGCTATAAAAATAATTGATTAAATCTTTCGTATTTACGTATATTGATATTTTCTAGTTCATTTTTGGGGAGAGGGATGTTTACTTTTTTCATTTATGTTTTTTTTTTTATTTCTATATGGTCATGAATTACTACATGTATTTTTCTAACAATAAAAATTTCACTGAAAATCGCTGCTTCTTGGATTTCCTTCAATAATACCTGAGATTATTAATGGATAATTCACAGCAATGCTTATTATTGTAAAATGTCATTTTTGGTAAGCTGAAGATGCAGTATAAAAATTAACTAATATTAATTTTCATTTCATCAAATAGAAAATACTCAATGTTTTAAAGGGAAGCACTTAACTTATGTTTCGAGGTATATTATTACACAGTATGATTGTAAGTTGACAAAGCCCACTCTTATTATACAGGGGCCTGTTTCACAAAGGTTTCCTTAGATATGTCGTAAGACATAACTTAAGATATGACTAAGTTATAACTTAGGAAGTTCTTAAGATTTGTCACAGCTGTTTCACGAAACAATCTTATCTTAAATTTATCCTAAGATATTTCTTAAGTTGTGTTACGGACTAATGAAATAACTTTTCCACTCTATCTACAATTCTGTTAGGAGGATGTCAGTATGAATAAAAATCTTTAGTTTGAGTCGGGTTTTTTCAAGTAAAAAAAAAAAGCTTGAAAAGGGGAGGGTCGGGAGGTTAGGGGTTACCCTCCACTTTTAAAGGACTTGGACAGAAGTATGGTTTAACCTTGACAAGTTTCCTACACACACACACACAAACACACCCTCACACACACACTCACACACACAGTGACACACATAATCCCCCCCCCCCCCGTCACAAGACGTGTATTTTTTTAAACTAATATTTGTGCTATTATATGTTTGCCTTTATTTTGCTCTGTATAAGGTATCGGAGGTTTGAAATTGTTTATTTTTTCCCCTACTTATATTTTTCTACTAGTATCGTTTCAATTAGAAAATGGAATAAATTTAAAACAATAATTGCTTCGAAGGGCAAGCAATCTAACAGAGACCTTATTTTCTTTTTTATTTCTTCGCAAATGAGTGCTCCACGTTATAATTAGTCGTACATGTTACTGTGTAATTTAAAATAAGAATTTTTCGACAGATAAGAAATTCCAAATTCGCGACTGTGGAAACACTAACAGAAAAAAAAGTTGAAAAAAGGAAATATAATCTTCATGCATAATTATACCGTGACAAATCAGCCCCAAAAGGAACAGGGGGACCTAATATTCTGTAACACAACATACATTTGTTCAGGGGAAGAGTTGAAAAGAAGTGGTCATTAAGCGGAAACAGGGAAAATGGTCAACGCCCCCTTCCCCTCATAGGAGATAAAATACAAGCAATTTTTGGAGAAACAGCTATATCAGGAGCTGAAGAGAACAAATTTGTTCCCTTATCAAACTATAATCTTTCAAATACTAAATATCGATTCAAATACTATTAATATTATCAGATTTGAAAATATATAATAATGGTTCAAATTATATGCAAAGTTTTGTAAAACAGACAATAGTGTATATAGCGTGGAATTTTTTTTTGTTTACAAAATCGTGCTCTTTAAATGATGGGGAATTAATCCAACATGTGTACCGTCTATTTTATAGTAACATAGGGAAATCCACGAATTCGAGAGAAATGAAACATTTTGTAAGTACAATGTATTTGTAGTTCCAACTTCACCAATGGACATTTTTATATACCTTGGATTAATTTTGACTAGTGATACAGACACATCTCTGACAATTCTTAAAATCCCTTTCTTAGGTATTACATACAAAGTAAAGCAGTTATAACCTGAAGGGATCACAATCATTCATATACTAGTAGTCCTTTGGATTTTTTCTCTCCCTAAACACACATAGTATCTCTCTTTAAGAATCCTTGTACATGTATCTACAGTCGTCATATTTAGCTTCTTCTTGTCTTAAAGTTACGACATAACTTAGGAATATCCTAAGATAAGACGAGGTTAGTGAAACGGATAAGTAATGAACTTAGGAAAAAGAGGAAAAAGATATAACTTAGTCCTACATGTAAGTTAGCTTTGTGAAACGGGCCCCAGAAGACAATGCCAGCTCAGGGAATGACGCAAATTTGAATAATTTAAGGAATAACTGTCTTATTTTGTGGATTCATGATGTGATCAATCGAGTGGCTTGCGTGATAATTTGCATAAACACCGAAGGCGTTTATGCATAAAATTATCACACAAGCCAATCGATTGATCATCGTCATGAATCCAAAAAATCTGACAGTTATTCCTTATATTTACATGCTCCTGATTCTGCAAATTCCCGTGCTAATAGCCCCGCTTCTGTCTGTATTTGTCCCGCCCCGCACGTGATTTTTTTTTAACCGCGCCTATCGATGAACCAGTGGATTTATGTAAAAATAAAGTATTTTTACAATTTGTAATTTTATCTCGGACAAAGACATTGGAAATTTAAATATTAAAGTATAAATCTATACTACATCCCTGCAGGAAAGGATTTTAAAAAGTATTCAACGACTTCATCCTTTTGTCGTTATGTCAAAGTATTAAAGTAAAGCATTGTTGATTTTTTTTTTGGGGGGGGGGGGTTAAAACTTTATTTTATTCTTATTATCAATTTGTAATTCCATATCTTGCGAAGTAGTTTTGCGAGCAAAGAAATATCTTTGACTTCAGTTACTATAAATTTGTGCAATATACGACTTGATATAACTGTTAAAAGTACTGTATTTCTGGCATATTTTCTATTCATCTATAAAAATCTGCATTATGACTACTGTAAAGTAGTCATAATGCAAATTTTTATTGATGAAATATGAAGATAACGAACAGTATTCCATCTCGAAAGTCCAATGAAAAGATACAAATTTGGAGCAGAGCAAAAATGTCAAAAAGACAGTACAATTAATTTTTTGATATCCCTGGAGTACAACCACCCATTGAAAGTTATTTTTCCAAAGTGATTTAATTTCAAAAAATGGGTTTCTAAAAGGAAACGTTTACAAGTAAGTAGAGTACTAGTATTTAGGTTCACATTAAAGTCTGACATTGAATGATGTGTATGATTTACTGGAGAGGTACAATTGCAAAGGTACAGCACATGTTAAGTTGTGAATTCCATTCGCCTGAATTTGCTTTCATATGAAATCTGCCTCATGATACACCGGTTTGTACTTATAGTATGATAACCAGCTTAGAGATCGTGCAGATAGCAGTTTAATGCACTCAAGAGGTAGATTATCATAAATTTGTACATGTAATTGTGTGATTAAATATTATAGGTAATTTTTATATTGCTGAAAATATGCAGTGCATTATTTGAAAGATCAACAGTGCTAAATTCTTATAGCTAAATACTAAAAACCCCTTTTCAAAGTAAGCATTTCTTTAAAAAAAAAATTGAATACATTTTAGGTGTCAAATCGATAAAATGCGCATAAAATTGAGATAATGATCCATTTTCACCTTAACAGAATTAAAAATTCACAGCACTCAACTCATCGGAACAGTTTTCAATTGTATGTCGATACAACACGTCAATATTTTCTAGCATCTAAACCAAAATTTATACAGAATTTTTTTGTTCTTTAGATGCATACTCAAAACTGAAACTTTAATCGGGCAGTAATGACAAGCCTAAACCTAAACTTTACTCATATCTTCGTCTTATTTGTGCTTTTAATGAAAATTACAAAGTCGTTTACATTTTCACAAATTTCCTACCAGATTCCGGATTGTAATATCAAAAACGGTTACGATTCACTAATAGGAGTTTGTGACACAGATTCAATACTGGAGTGTTCTGCCAAGTGCATTAATGACTGCAAATGCTTTGGTTTTCATCCACTGTTGAAATCCTGTCGCTTACATCGCAACTGTGAGGAGGCTGATATGACTAGCGATGGGAATAACTGGATATATTTTAATCCTAGTGGCAAAGGTATTGTTTCATAGCAACCAATATCTCAAGTTGGAATTTTAACCGATGCATCATATACAATGTACAATTGAGATTATTTGCACATTACTTTTATTATGTGTTCTCTGGAATCCAATTTTTCTTTTTGTATTTAATTCTGCGTTATTTTTTTTTCTTTTGAGGCCAGACGACACATTCCTTAATAATATATAATTTTTCCTATGAATTTGACATTGAATTATTGCTACTTTAACAAGTTTCATCACAAAAAAATAAGGTACCTTACCAGGCATTTGTTCAAGATATCACATGATGGTGTTTTCTATATAAATCCTATTGGAAATCTCTTGAATTGTCAATATCACAATTTTTGGTGTAATTATTTTTAAGACATTTTGGAGACAGTTTAAAAATCACAAGATAATGATAAGTAGAGATACGAAACAGATATTCGAGGAAAGTGTCGTCAATACCTCGGGTACCATGCATGTAAAATTAAGTCTCTCCCCTTACCCAAAGTCAAAAAAACTCGGCCTTTAAGAAAAACTTCCTGACAAACGATTTTTAAAAAAATAGTTTTTCTCCAAAACATCTTAAATTTGTTTTTGAGAATTTAAAAGATGAAATTTTAACATTACTCCGTAGTTCGGAAAAAAAAATGTTTGTAATAATTTTAATCATTGGTCTTGTAGCAAGAGAATGGTTTAGGGGTAACAAGTTAAAAGTAAAAAGATCGGTTGTAAGAAAGAAAGAAAGAAAAAGTGCACACATGGAAACGTCCACCTACATGAACATGTCCTTCTCTATTTATTTTTAGGCCTTCTTGCCCTAAGTTGCTTAGAACTATTCAATGCTGGTAGAAATTGTTCAGGAGTATATACTATCTACCCGTTTATGGACTACGATCGACCTTCCAAAGTGTTCTGTGATATGGTTACAGAAGGCGGTGGTTGGACGGTAAATATGAAAATAAAATCAATAGTAACATACGTAAATTAAGGTACTCCCAGAAAAAAATATGGGACTCAGACAATTACAAATGTAATTTTTTTAAAGAAGTATTGGAACGGAAAAAGGTATTGTTCTGAATGAATGAAATATATGGAGATAACGAACAGTATTCAATCTCAAAAGTCCATTAAACAATACAAAATAGGAGCAGAGCAATCACGGACCTCCAAAAACATCAGAGGTGGGATCAGGTGCCATGGAGGAGTGAGCATCTCCTGCCGACCGGTCACACCCGCCGTGTGCTCCTTGTCATGATCGGGAAATAACGGGAAAATCCGTCGACAATTCAGTGTAATAAAGTAAAAGCAAATAGTACCACAGTGCATCTATAACCCAGCAGTCTCAAAAAAGCCTATAAGATTTTATTATTTATTTATCTTTCATTCCATTAAATATAATAATTGTAACTGCCAAATTAAGTGAAAAATAGAGGATATTCAATATTTTGTAGTTGGATATGGAATTTATTTCACGAGTGGGACAGGATTTTTTTTTGTTTATATTTTCACTCGTGCTGAACGCACTCGTGAAAAAATAAAAAAAATCCTGTCTAACGGGTGAAATAAATTCCACATCCAACTACAAAACATTGAATTTTCTGTTTATTACATTTTCTTTGATTTCCCCTTTGCTTCTGTCTTTTCTAAAACACAGTGTCATAGGCTGTGACGTCATAGTTGACAGTTGAGACGACATAGGTTAGCCAGTTGCGAGATTGAAAACATTGTAACATGGATTTTGGCAACATATTTGGGAAGAAATTGGCCATTTTAGTCTCTATCAAGATTAGTTAATATCTCAATCTTATTACAGGCCAGAAATTACATTTTACTTACTTTGATATCCTTTCACACTGTGACAGAATATCACTTTTGTATCCTTTCACACTGTGAGAGAATATCACTTTTTTCCGATGAATAATTCACAGTATTTCACTATTGAAAATGTAATGAAAAGACCTAATAAAATGTGATTGTGTCATAGAATAAAAATGTACTCAAGAGTATGACGTAACAGTATCTCTGTGCCAGATCGATTTTACTCATATTCTGATTGAAATAATTCATTATAATCTTACATTGGTTAATGTTAATATATTAATCTTGGCATGAAGAGCGAATGTTAAATTTAGTCAGTAGAATATAACACGCTTATTAAGCTTTTCAGTGCTAGATCGGTGTTAGATTTGTTCATCAAGACTATTTAAAATAATAAATATTTGACAAATAAAATTCATTGCATGTCAGATAATACAGAGAAGACTAGACGGATCTTTAAGTTTTAACAGACCATGGACAGAATATAAACAAGGATTTGGGGCTGCCGAAAGCGAGTATTGGTTAGGTTGGTATTTCTCTTTTATAACAAATCTTTGATTTACATTAACTGTTTTGAAATTTTTTTTACTTTAGAGATATATACATTTATTTAGGCAATGATTTTATTCATCAACTAACGATTTCTAAACGATCCTTTTATGTGGGCATAACGACGACAAATGGAGCATCGCTCTATGAGCATTACCCACAATTCTCCATCTCCAATGAAGCAGATGGCTACCGACTCTACTTAAGTGGAGCCGCTTCAGGAACTCTCGGTACGTTTTACGTGTGAATGCAAAGTGAGAATCGGAGCCTGTTACATGGTGATGTATTTATCACTGGGAATAAATTGAAATTGGGGTAACTAGTAAAAAGCAAGGTAGTTTAAATAAGTTTTGGTTGTATGAGAAAAAGAAATGATTTTATTCATCAACTAACGAATACTAAAAAATCCTTGTATGTCGGTATTATGTTGACTAATGGACGATCACTCTATGGGTATTATCCACATTTCCCCATCTCAGATGAGTCAAAATGGCTACAGACTCCACTTTGGGAACTTTAGGTAACTTTTATGTGTAAATACAAATTTGAGAATCAGACTCTGTGAATATGATATTTGGATAAATAATGGGTCCCAGGGAGGACTAAATGAGTTTTATCATAGTACAATGATAATTTTGCTGGTTAAATTTTTTTTTAAAGTTTTGGTTGCACAGGGCAAGTCAAATAATTCCAACTAGGGGGGAATTGTTGCAGTAGATGAGGAATCCTAGTTTTCAGCTTCTTTAAAATGTTCTTTTTAATATCCATGAGGCTACCTTTTTTTACCTTAAGCTTCCCATTATTTGACTTTTTCCCTAACCTTAGAAATCTTTGCAAATACTAGTAATTCGTTTTTTCAGAAACAGGCACTCTTGTATTACTCTTTTCCAAAGTAGATGGTAAAATGAAGACACCAGACACCTTTTGAATTAACTGTTTCCGAAAAATGTCATTTCTATTTTAGGCGATAGCATGAGAGGAAGTGGGGCTATGAATTTAAATGGATGGAGATTTTCCACTCCAGACAGGGATTATGATGACTGGCCCACAGGAAGTTGTTCATCACATTTTAAAGGGGGATGGTGGTTTAACTGGTGTTCTAACAGCTTTCTGAACGGTCAGTATGGATTAGCCTCCTGGGAACGCCCATGGTCTCCATCTGTGCCCGACGGAACGACAGTCACCTCAACCACAATGATGATTCGTTGAAAAATAAATGAACTGACTTCGAATTTTGCATTTTTTTTTTTAAAAAAGCCAAAGCCTCAAGTGTGGTTTTCTAATCAAAATTTTTCCGTTGTTTGTCGTCGTCGTTATCTTTTCACAATTTCATCTTCTTCTCCAGAACCACCGGGTCAACTAGGTCAATTTCAACCAAACTTGGCACAGAACATTTTTGGGTAAAGGGAATCCAATCTTTTTAATGAAGGACCACGCCCTCTTTCAAGAGGAGATAATCAAGAATTAATGAAAATTTAATGGCATCATTTAAAAATCTTCCTAAGAACGACTGGGTCAGAAAGATGAAACTTGTGTGAAATCTTCTTACACAATGTGGATTCAAGTTTATTTAAATTATTCCCCCAAAGATGGGGTGTGCCCACAGTAATAGAATACATATATAAAGGAAATATTTTTTCCTGAGCACAGCCGTGATCAGTCATATTAATGTAGACTTAGCAGAGATTCAAGTACTCCCAGGGGTAGGGTTGCCTCACATTAAACAATCAAAGTTTACATTGGAATATATTAAGAAAAAGTCTTTTAAAATCTTCTTATGAAATCCATGATGTCAATTAAATATGGAAACGTCATCGGGTAGTGCATATTCAATTTTGTTCAAACCACAAGCCTCGGGGATAGGACAGGGCTACAGCAGGAGATCAAACTACATGTATATAGGAAAAAATCTCACCAGAACAGCAAAGCCATCATAAGTCAAATAACTATGGAAATGTTTCTGTTGGTGTAGATTTAAGTTTGATCAAATTATACCCCCAACCCCACCCCCAGGGGGGAATGAGATGGGGCGACATCAAGTAATAAAAAAGAGTTACTAGTATATTGGAAGAGATCTCGACAAATTTTCTCCTCAAGAACAACAAAGCTAACTATATGCAATTATATGTGGCAGGTCCAGGATTCCTTCAAAGGAATGGAAGGGAAGGGGGGGGGGAGCAGAATGAAGGTCTGGTGCAAACCCTTGTGGAAGCCTATAAGGCAAAGCCCCCAAGTTTTGTGTCTTTTAAAGATCAGTTTGAGTCATTTCATGTATATTTTATGTATAATGTAAGCAATCATATCTAAGTGATTAAGTCATCTTTACAAAATTTGAGAACACAAAAGGAGGGAGTAAGGGTCTCCTAAGCCCACTCTTAATCCGCCATTGATTAGTCATTTTTATATTGAAGCATCCTCAGGTACATGTAGTGTAGATTCAAGTTTATTTAAATCATCGCCCCTGGAGGTAGGGCGGGGTCGCGATAGGAGATCAAAATTTTATATAGGAATATATAGGAAAAATCTTTAAAATTTTTCCTCTTATGAACAGCAAAGTCATTATTATTTATATTGATATGCAGGCATCCTTAGGTACTTTTGATTTTAGTTTGTTCAGATCAGGGCCTTCGGGAATAGGTCGGGGCTACAATAGAGGAACAGAATTTTATAAGAGCGTATATAAATAGGAAGAGAGTTTTTCAAGAGTGGAAATACATGTACCACACTTAATCACATAAAAAGCAAAAATACTCAAGTTATGTGGAATCATTTAAAAGAAAATTATGTGCCTTGGTATAAGGGTTTTACCGAAATCGGTAATCCAAATTTTACATATTGCATATGTACAGGAAAAAATCGTTTTCAGAACAACATTGTATGTTTATCAAATTAATATTGAAGCATCCCGATGTTATGACCAAATCATATCTTTTTAGAGCTATATTTTGCAGTTGGCTAGATCTTGGTCCACAAAATGGAATCGAATTTGTTATGAAATTAAGGAGGGAAATTAAAAAATCAGCTGATGAAGAAAAGCAGAATCGAAGTGACTCAGGTGAGCGTTGTGGGCCATGGGCCTCTTGTTAAGATTTGTTTTGTTTGTTTGTTTGTTTTTTGGGTTTTTTTTCCAATTAACAGTCGTTACTTTCATTTGTATATCAACTCGAAATACCAAATAAATAAATAAAAGAATGTTACATTTAGTAACTTTTTATAATCTTTAGTCGCCCGCGTGGCGCACTGGTTAGAGCGTCTGCTCTAGAGTCGCGGAGTATGGAGTTGATCTTTACGTCGCAGGTCGAATCCCACTGTGGGACATGGAAACCCGTCTTTCGGATGAGACCGTATAAACAGAGGTCCCGTGTCGCAGTAGGTGCTGGCATGAAAAAGATCCCTCACTGCTCAATATCCCTGAGTGTAGAGTATTCCCTGAGTGTAGAGTATAGGTAAAAAATTTGCAGCACTCCACCGGCAAGTGGTGGCGTCTCCATATGAGAGGAAAATTCTTGATAGGGACGTTAAACAACAAATAAACATAATCTTTGAATTACAAATGGTGTGTCGTGTATTTTGAAGATAAACATTTTCTATATACAAACCAACAAAAAAAAAACAACAAAAAAACAATCATTGTATATATATATATACATACTATATATATATATATATATATATATATATATATATATATATATATATATATATATATATATATATATATATATATATATATATATATATTTGCAGGTTTGTATAATATTCTTATTTAAAACATATGATGAAAATTTTTTGTTTAGTTATGAAAATTATTTCAAAAGTTATATTGATTCGAAATTTTGACTTACGTCTGTTCTCAGTTTATGGTCTTGGGACCAGAGTTTAACATTGAAGTATAGAAAAAAAATCTTCAAGAATCTTCTTCTGAAGAACATTAGGGCCATGATAAGTCAAATTTAATATTCAAGCATCCTCAGGTGATGTATATTCAAGTTTGTTCAAATCATGGCCCCAAGGGGTAGGGTGGGGCCACATCAGGGTTTTACACTAAAAGATATAGGAGAAAAATTAAAAATCTTTTGACGAAGAACGTTTGGACCGTGTTTAGTCTTCTTAAATAAATATGTAAGCATTGTCAGATATTGAATGAAAAAGGCGAAGATACAGAACAGTGATTGATCTCAAACCTAAAAATAATAAAATTCCAGAGGTGGGATCTGGCTCCTAGGAGGAGCAGCATCCCCTAATGACCGGTCACACCCGCCGAGTGCCCTATGTATAGATCAGGTACACGGAATATTTCATAGTCAAATTTATCATAAAAACAAAGGCCTAACAATTGGTAAAGAAATATATGACCCAACGATATATTATATTTGCTAACAAGGTCATTATAATGACCATAGAATTTCTGAAATGGTGATTTCAAACAAGGTTGTTGAAATCCTTGTAACATCAACATTTGTCTTGTGCTTGCCTCGGTTTAAAAATTGATCATATATATTATACTCAGAATATACTCTTGAGTATCGAATAAGTTGGGAGCGTAAACGACATATGCAGGGTCCGTCGATAGCTGGATACAACTACATAAATAAGGAAAGTTGACAATGGAAAAACTGAAGTCATCTTGTTTGTTATAAAATTTAGTTGTTAGTTGGTCCTTATCGTCTATAGTCAGTAAAACATCAAAATAAGAAACAGATGTGACAGACTCTGTGGTGTCTTTTATTTCGAGTTAAGTGGGACATATCAACTTGACATAGGAATTGAAATAACAATTGTTATTCCATGAATTGATATATCTGAATTCAAGTTGAAGGCCACATCAAGTGTTTTCTACTTTTCGTTTAGTAGTTTTTGAATAAATTCTGCTTCAGAGGAATATGAAAAGATTAAAAACAGCTCAGCTAAGAAAGGAAAACAACTAGGCCTAGTGCCTATCGGAATTCCAACAGTGGACCCCAAAGACAACGTAGATGTCGTCAGTCAGGAACTCCAACATTTTTTTTATATCATCTTCAGAGTACTTGTATGTAGAATCAAAATGATTTTAAACAGTAATCTTGTTGATGACCAATCACAAGATTTGAATTTCCAAGCTCCATTTTATTGAAGAAGTGGTTGTTTATGATATCAAAAAGCCTAGTTTTTTTAATTTATCATGATAAATGGTTGTACAAATTGTAGAAAAGTCATGCGTTTTGATATTACTGACACTTTTAATTTTTTTTTTAATTTTAAATTTTATAAAGTTCTTTGGAGTTTTTACGAATCCACATCTTATCCACACCACTTTTAGTATATGCTGTAGCCAAAAGGTCTGAAGTTTCTCCTTAACAGCATTTACTATTTTTGTGAGGCGTAAAGATGGGAACTTGGTAGAGTATTTGCAGGACACGGCAATGTATCTTTTTAATGATTTTTATGAAGTTTATCAATCCAGTGTATGTAGGGTAGATCAACCTTACCTTCGTTGACTGAAATGTAAAAAAAAGTTTTAAAGACAAAAATGTGATTTTAAGAACTTCGTCCTTCGAAAGTGGACTGTTTGTTTGTATGTTGCTTAACGTCCCTCTCGAGAATTTTTCACTCATATGGAGACGCCACCACTAGCCGGTGGAGAGCTGCAAATTTTGTCCTATACTCGGCACTTACGGCCATTGAGCAGCGAGGGATCTTTTTCGTGCCAGCACCTACTGCGACACGGGACCTCGGTTTATACGGTCTCATCTGAAGGACCGGTCTCCACGGACTGTGATTATAAGTTGGATTTTCAGATATAGAATTTAAACCGAGTTCCTCTAAAATCCCTCAAAAGTGGACTGTGACTATAAGTTGGATTTTCAGATATAGAATTTAAACCAGGTTCCTCTAACATATTGTTCATGTAGTTATTCTTATTCTTGTATCACCTCCGATTTAACTTTCTAACACAATTTATTTTTCTTAAACATTAACCCATTTTGTTAAAGTGTTCAGGTCTTTCCCTTTATATTTCGCCCAACTTTCGGCATAATCTTCGAAAGAAGTCACAATAAAAATGAAGTGTTGTCGTCAATTGAAAGATCGAGACTCCATGTATTAAGGACCTTTTAAAATGATTGCTTTTAGGTACTAGTCATTTTCAGCTTTATTAAAATCACCAGTAATGATGTGTTTAGCGAATTGTGTTAGCTAAGATCAGGGTCCCCCGGAAATAGGGTGGGACC